AACATATGGTCTGCAAAAAAATAACTCATTTGATTAGTCACACCTCCAAAAAGTAATCACTACTTACAGGCATTGGTTCATGTTACGTGAGAATCGTTGGACTTTGAACACATATCGCTGTAAAACCGTACGTGTGGCGTCGCTCGGTCACTAACGATGTTGGCGAACCGCGAAGTACTGACAATATTTTCGCTTATATTTTCTAATAGTGTCATTGGTAACATTGGTTACATTGTCATGTAACAGCAATATGATTTCTCGTTGGTGTTTGAATATACATAGGCACGTTTCTGAATAACACATACTTATTTCCTTCTAGAGTGTATGTCAGGCGTAAATGTGAATGTTCCGTATCCAATCACATATGGACTTGTTGGATATGACACCACATTGATTTGTGTATATGAGATTGACGGCCCTTATTCTATACTGACATGGTATGACGGATTCCCAGGCAGAGATGCAAGTATTATCCTCCAGGAGATGAACGGAGTTGTCTATGTTCACCCAGACTATCAAGACAGGTTTTCATTGACTGGTCAAGCTAGTCTTCGGATTAATGACACAGAACTTGACGATTCAAATGACTATGAATGTCAAGTATCAGCTGGTGGTGAAATTGATCATGGGAGTACATACTTGTCTGTGACAGGTACATAGAAGTATTTATAAAAAGTTGTTCAACTGTTGATTACACCTAAAAATACAATAAAGACGATTGATGTTGTTTTACGATATATAATATATTATCAATTTTATAATATTACCATTAAAGTGCTCGTTGACAAATTATGTTGCATGCATTCCTTATTGTATTATCCCAGAATCTCAGTCACCATACTGCACACTTCAACACAACACGCAACCAGTGGAAGGTGTTGATTTGACTTTGACATGTTCGATCCAAGGCATACCGCCACCAACGGTACAATGGTTAAAAGATGGCTATTCAATAGAGAATTCAAAACGGTATACATTTTCTGAAGATGATACAGAATTGACTATACTAAATACTCATCGAAATGATAGTGGTGTATATATTTGTAATGTGACAAATTTAGTTGGATCGTTTTTGTGTTATGACCTAATCGATGTTGTGTGTAAGTATATTACATACCTGTGTTTGAGATTATACAGTTATTGACAATAGTCTATATTATATAATTATATTATATTAACAAAACAATTACTTTCAGTATATTCCTTATTCTCAATATTGACACCGTAAAGTTACACAGCATTCACTTCATTTCTGAAAATTTCTGAATGTATAATAAAGTTAAATAACATCTAATCCGCTTTGGGTTAGTTAAAATCATTAACAAATGGGAATATGTTGAAGCACAAACTTGTCATACATCTTATGCTAAAATAATTATTATTATACTTCTATCGCCGTAACGCCATAAGTTACAGCGTGCCGTAATGTTGCGGTATTTTACGGGGTATTTTCATACCACCATATAAAGAAATGCGAATTCCAAATAAGGAATGATTACGCTCGTAAGCGTCCCGTAACAATAAAGACAAACACGGAAGTTCGCTGATTCTGTTCTAAACTTTTTTTTTATTTCGGCATTTCCATGATGTATCCTTAGAAGGAAAAGATGTATAATATTAAGGGTATTATCAGACAGTGCGCCGCGCATCGACCTCCGCTACACGTCAGTCGAAATTCCAGATGTACTGTCTTCGTGCATACTTTGAGATATTCTCGTATTAACCTTCAGTTTTTATAATTGATATACAAAACACCTTGGATTATTTGTATAAAGATTTGTACGACTTAGAACATTAATGGAAGTGGAAAAGGGTCTTAAAGTTCCTTCCTTTGTTTAACAGCCAAAACGCGAATATCCCAAGATAAACGTAATATTTATTCGCCCCGTCCGAGATACGAATTACAATATGTCATCCATATTGTTTTCGTCCGCAACAATCTAAGTGTTCTAGATGTTAAGACCTCAGAGGACAGTAACACATAACATGACGTCAGAGTGAAGAAATGAGCTGCCGGAAGCCGAGCCAATATCTATAT